AACTTGAGGTCATGGAGCTTAGCAGGGAGGCAAAACAAAGAAGACGAGATCCTGGGAAGCTGACGTTTTCCTGAAGCTCCTTTCTGTAAAGGAAGATGATGACAGGTCCTTTAGCCACACAGCGAAGGGCAGATGTGGGCAGCTCTGCTGGGCTGGCATGAGGGCTTCTCTGAACTGGAGTCATGCCTATGGAGTTACTTTTTTTCCAGATGGAAAAAGTTGACCTGCCGTTCAACCTTGTGTGCCCAGAAYGCGGCACAGCCTTAAAGTCACTGCATTTCTTGCCGAGTTTTGTGGCAATAATGTCCGTGTTCTGTACAGCAGCCAAATGGATCCGCCTCAGTGCGGAGCTGCCAGGAGCGCTCAGCCCGGCCGCGCTTTGTGCTTCAGCTCAGCTGCTGCTGATCGCGCCGCTGACCTTCCTTGTATTGATCTGTGTCTTCCAGTGAAATAGGTTCATTTAGCTGTACGTTAACCTGGCATTTCTGCTGACTGGTTTCGTGCATTAAACTTGGTGACAAACAGTTCCCTGCCAGCTGCTAAGCCCTGGGTTACACGTGCAGCACGGCTGGAGTAGAGCCAGTTCCATCTGGGGCTGGTGCCTCTTCTGTAGGGACCGTGGTGGCACTTGCATGTCTTGAAAAAGCAAGTAAAATAATTCGGAATAGCAACAGCTGGAAGCATTTGTTTCAGTCTGTATTGACACTGTGTGTCTGGGAAAGATTTGCATATATAATTTTAAATAATTGCTTTGCACTAAGTGGCTTTTTTCTTTTGATATATTTATGAGATTTTTTTCTTTTTTTTTTTAAGAAAGAAATCATATTCTGTCCTGCCTACCTCTGGATCTGACAAGACATTGTTGTGTGGTGCCTGTGTGCTGATGAAATATAGGAGGAAAAAGGTTTCCATGGTGTTCAGTGCTGCTGGGGCATTGCTAAATGTTTCTGTTCAAGGGGGCAGCAGTTTTGTCCCTGTTGTTGCCAGAGGTGACTAAGTGGGACGCCGAGTGACATTCCAAGAGGGAACTGAAGGAGCCCGGTAGAAGTGTCTCTCTGATCATTTACACAGCAGACATAGGAAGGACACCAGAAAACGAGGAGGGGAGTGTGCGGGAGAGGGCGGCGGGCCAGGAGGGACCCGSTCCCTGTTCCCGGGCAGGCTCGAGGGACAGGGACAGAGCAGCCCCAGGGGCTGGCGGGAAGGGCCCTCCGGAGGCCCTGCAGGCTGCTTCACCCAGCACCAGCACCCCGGGGTGCCTCTCAGGTCCCCAGTGCCTCTGAGAAATAATTATGATCTCAGACTAATTAAAAATGCAGAATTAATTGCGCTTTCAGATGGGAAGGTTTGTCGTCCCCACCTTCTGGGATCTTCTCATACACGTGCATTTTCACAGGTTTGGTAAAACATTGCCAGTATCCCTAAAGGAGGCGTTTGGAGACCATAGCAAATGATTACCAGGTGTGGTGGGCTCTTGTAGTCGTCTGTGTGTTTCAATTTTCCATATTTTTTGTACATATTTTAAGATAAGGAGAAAAGTATTTTGTGTAATACTGCAGCAAGCAGTAGGAAAGTACCAGTTTAAGTGATTCCTTTTGCCATCCTCTTCAGCATACTTCTTATTCCCTGAGAAAACATGTGAATTAGGTTCATCACTCTTGTTGATTTTAACAGGAAATATTTATTTATTTTCTGAAAAACTATAAATGTGCCTAGGGATGTGTCTAGTTGGGAGACACTGCTGTGAGGAGGAACACGAATCCTGGAAAATGAAGCAAAGCTAAAAATCTTTGAAATAAAATCTTGTTCACTTTTTTTTTTTTTTTTTTTTAATAAACAGTTACAGATAAGGCTTTCCATGTGGAAGAGAAAGAGATCTGCTGAACTGGTGCGACCTTGTTCGTGAGAACTGTTCCGTGTTACAGCCTGGCTGGCTGATCTGGAGTAACCGGAGAGGAGCGGTGTTTGCCCCACAGAGCTCCTCTAGCTTGGGAACTCCTTCCCTGTTTCCCCTGGGAGCAGATRCCAGCAGCGCCCCGGGGAGAAGCGCTGTGTCCGGCGGGTGCTTGGGGTGGCAGGGAGGGAATCCCGCTGCTCCCAGGGGACGGAGGTTGTTTCCAGGCCTTCTCAGCGACTTGGCCAACCTGGGGGTGCTTGCTCTGCAGGCAGCTCTCTCCTGAAAGCCTCCCGATTTCCAGTGTGGTTTCCTTCTCATCGCCACGTCGTAAAGCACTGGAGCTCCATCCTTAACAYGCTTTGCTTGCTAGAAGACTGCAGGTGAAAACCTAGTTTAGAGTCGTTCTCAGATAGAGAGGATTAGTTGCTCTTTGCTCTAGAAACAAAGCACTCTTTAAAAAAAATAGTACTACTAAATCTTGTCATCTTTTATGCTCCAGTTGTGTGAGGTTTGAACGATGTGAACTGAGGCTTCTGTGTAGTGGAACTTACATCTTCTAAACCGTGGTCTAAAAACAGACACGTGTGGTGCTGATAGAGTGAAATTGGGACACGCAGTACAGTCTTATTTTGTCTGTGTGCCTTTGAAAGCCGTGAGGGCTTCCAAGGGAGAGCACTGCAGGTTGCCTTGTGCCCCGCGCTTGGCACCTTCCACGGCTTCAGAAACCCGTGGAGTTATTTACAGGAGTTCCCTTCGCGGGGCCAGGCTCCGTGGAGCCCYGTTCCCGCTCTGCTCGAGTTCCCGAGCGCGGCTCCGGCAGCACCTCAGCCTCCGTGTCCCCCTGCGGGACATGGCCACCCCCGGGACGTCCCTCCCTGGCCTCTCCACGGGAAATCCTTCCCTTGGCCCTGGCTAGCTCCAGGTAGAGAACTCCGAAGTTCCTGCTGGGGAGATGTGGTTTGGTTGCTTTGTAAGCAGGTGACAGGGCAGGAAGTTGATGTGTAACACAGCGTTTTTCTCCTTAGTTACGGTGGTGGTTGTGCCATGGGAGAACTAGGCTGGGATCTCTGACTTAAGCCTAAGGAAGCAAAGCAAGTGCTCAAGGTTATGAAACCTGTGAAAGCCCTGGGAAAGTGTTTTACTCCCTTCAGGTTTCAGCTCATCATCTCATCAGCYTCCAAGCTCTGGCAATGCCCGCTTACCTGACTTCCGCTCTCTAAAGAAACAAAATAACTTCTTATTTTTCCAGTGGAAGAAGTGCGTTTTCCAAAGCGCTCGCCGTTCTGGGGCCCGGGAGCTCGTGGGAGGCCCTGGCCTCATCTCCCGGGCTCAGGGCTTCTGCCACCGTGCACTCATGGCCCGAAAAACTGACTCCTTCTTCTGTTAAAATCCTGTCATAARAGCTGAAATCCTCTCTGCCTATCCTGTATACTATGTTTTGACCATGTGTCTTAAGACTTAAAACGTAGACTTTTCTGAAGTAAAAATCCTGGTAGTTTTAGGAGGAGTGCAGATGTGTGTCGTAATGGTGACAGGGCTGTGCTGGGGCTTTAGGCTTAATTAGTTTGGGCTTAGTTTTAAAGAAGTTAGGCTAGAGGCCTCTCAGATCATCTGATATCCGACCTGTAGATGAGTCATAAGCGAGTAACTTGCATCTAGTTATTCTTAAATCAAGCCTAAAACTCTTGACTAACGCCTGAAGAGACTTGGCTGAAACGATCTCCTAGAAGAGGAAAATATCAAAATATGATGAGTTCAGATTCCTCGGGTAGTTTCAGTGACTAATCATGACTTTTTCAAAAAATTCTTCTGCTTTTACTTTTTGTGTTTTTCTTAGGTGTGTGAGATTGGAGGGAGCCCTCAGTGCTTACCCACGGCCCATAGGTACTCTTTACCTATTGAATTGCATCTGGAATTCAGCTTTATAGGAAACTGTCCTGAAATAATTTTTTTGTTCTCTAGTTCTAAGTGAGGTGCAGAAAATAAATGTTGTTGTTTCTAATCACTGGCCCTTCAAGTCAAAACTTAGCTGGCCTTCCTAAAGTCTTCTGCAAGCTTGGCTGCAAGTCATGATTTCCAGGAGAATCAAAGCGACTTTCCCKTGTGATTTTGGCATTATTATTCCTTTGTGACTTTGGTAACAATAATCCACTTTCTAACTGAAAAGAAAATCAATCTGTACAGGAGTTTGTATAGGGTAATGACCTAAAACAAACATGTCAGTGCTCTTATGGAAACTAGCATGTGTGAGATGTGTCAAGTACACAAGGAAGTACGTGCTGAGATGAGAATGCAGGAGAACAGAGCTAGAGAGAGGTAGAAAGAGCCCCCCTGGAGGAGGAAGCRAAATGATGCAGAGACCTGCTGCTTTGAGCAGCCTTGCCTGGGCAGGTAAGGCCTGGGGAATTTGAGAACAAATAAATTCAGAGGGTTTTAACCTTGATAGGGAAAACAACTTTTGTGGAAGTATGTATATGTGCTCTTACAGGCTGGAATCTTTAAACCTGGTGCATGTTTTTTAGGAGCGTTTTCTTGCAAGCTTTCACAACCWGAAACAGGTCCATCTCCAAAGCATGACAAGAGTTTTTGTAGATCTTGACCATTTAAAACACCCGGGCCTAGACTTAACTTGTTACACTCAGCTGCAGTAAAACTGCTTAGGGTAATCGTGTCTATTCATGGAAACTCAATTTCTCTACAGAGGGCTACAAGTTTATTTTATAATGCTTAATTTTCTCTAATTGTGTATAATAAGTTATGTTCCTGTGCTTAGCAATGGCTCTGGGGTATGAGTGGAAGAAACTAATAAAAATGAGTAATTCCTGACTCTGTTGTATGCAGACTTCTAAAGCTGCCTTATCTATTTTAATCCAAAAGCAACTGACACCCTGAAGTCTAATCCCAAAGCTGTGTTGATACTAATGATTTGCATGCCAAAAAGAGCCACTTGTGTAAAAAGAGTGGCCCTCAAGACTAATTTTGTTTTACAAAAGCTGCTGCGTATGTAAACTTGCTCTTATTAAAAAAGAGAAAATCTGTGTATACTGTTCATTAAACATAGTTTTTTTAACATTATGCTATACTTCCTTTTTTTTTTTTCCAGATTTGAACATGGAATTCAACCCATCAGATCATCCTCGAGCCAGTACAATATTTCTCAGTAAATCTCAAACAGATGGTAGGTTACTGAATTTATTACAATATTCTTCTTGCAGTTGTTTCTAAATCCTTAGTTAGAATGCATGTGATAGTCTCTTGAGGTCTTTTAATATTTAATTTAAAAAAATGCGGTTAACAGAGTAATTCCCCCACTGCGTGACATCAGTGGCGYAAGTCAAAGACTTCTGTAGGTGTCCCTCGAGTTGAAAGAAGTCACAGCTTTGGTTGTTTAAAGTATTGGATGTAGCAGTAGAAAGTGCAGAGTTGAGTCCTCTCATGGGCTGAATTTGTAAGACCAAAAAGTCCTTGTATCAGAACTGAAAATATGTATAAGTTTAATATAATTAAAAATTTAAAATACTTTCCCTAAGTGTAAAATTTTCTGTGCAATTATTTTTTAAAAACTCAGTAGAGAAGACCAGGTTTCTGGGAAAAAAAGACTGGGGAGCAGGATTTTGACATCACCTCAGCGAGACAGACAGTCCAGTGTTTCCTCCAATATAGCTTGTGCTATAAATGAACTCAGTAGGAGGCTTTAATAACCACACATCCTCCTCCCACCGAGGCTTTCTCTCTTTTTCTCTAATTATAGATTTGATGTAATCATTTATTTGTCTGGGGTATTTTTTTATTCTTAGACAAAAGTGATCCCCTGGGAACTGGATCTTTGAAGCAACCCCCGTGGTACAGTTAGTAGAATAGAAGCCGTTTACTTGGGCTCTTTCATTCACTGTTGCACGTGTGACATACTTTTAGAGGCAGATGAGAATAATCATTACAAAACACATTATTTCCTACCCAGCCCTTCCGAGCAGTTTCTGTATTTTAATTCTGGTGGTGCGATACGAATTTTTTGTCCTTCTTTCAGCTGCCTATGAATGCTGGGTTTTATTGACACAGTAAATTCCAATGTCAAGCACATTAATTCCCACCCCCAAAAAGTAGTTTTCTCTTACTGTTTGTTTTTGCTAATTTTTGAACATAGTTAATACAACTAGTACAGAGAGGATACAGTTAGGCCCTCATCGAAGAGCTGGTTGTGTGAGTAGTTCTTTCGCTCTTCAGACTGTCCCTCTGAAATCAGTGCCTTGTTATGTGGTTCTGAATCTTGATCTGATTTGGTAGTCTGTGAAATGGGCATGATAATATTTCCATTGTACAGTGTATTATGAGGACTAATTTGCGTCTGTTTTATAGTGTATTGAAACTGTGTAATATTGCATGGATACTACATTCTTCCARTTTCAGTTTATTGAAAAAATGACAAATCCCCAAGTCTAATAAATAAAATTTGGCCAGACCTGATAATTATATTTAGTTTCATTAGTAGTGATTAATTTATTGTAATATGAAATTAATTGTAAGCTTTTTAAATTTAAAATAATAAAAAAGTCAGTTTACATCCAGGCTAGATGGTGTAGGGAATTTTCTCTAGTTTAATATGAAGAGCTGATATATTGTCTTGTGAGAATAATGAGTATAGTGAAACACTGTAGGTACCTTATCAACTGAGATAGAACATCTGTTCAGCCATCCTTGATGACAGTGGAAAAAAATCCCAAAGCTAACTTGCCTGTGCAAGAAAATGAATATCCTGCAAGCATTTACATTTACATTTACATTTACATTGTGAGGAACCATCGTGGTGGAACAACTCACAGAAATAAAGATTTTGCCCAGCTCTGCTTTTGGCCCCTTGTGGAAACTGAGTCATGAAGATTTATCACACACTCTTCAGGAATGTCACATAACTCCGAAGTGCAATAAAATGCTCGTTCAGGGAGGAGTATAAGGTTCCTTCGGGCACCTTGAGGTTTATTCTGATCGCCTGTTGTGGAGCCCTGGTTGCCTCCACGGCATTAAAAGTCAGTGCAGAAGGATAGAGCTTAACCGGCAATATTTAAAACACCTAATTCAGACATGTTGGAAGACTAGCCTTCCTATAAAAGAAAATGTTTCTATAGGCCAGAAGTGCAGACATCTGCAGTGTCTGTATGTGCGTATGGGGGACCCCAGGACTCGGGGTGTCATGTGGGATGCGTCAGTGGGTGTTCAGCGTTCACTGACTCCTTTCTACGGAGGAAAGGACCAAGTCCACAGCTACACAGCGGAGTGACTCGGCAGCGTCGCATTCAGGCAGCAGCTCCTGTGGGTTTCCAGGAGCCCGGCACTGTTCCAGCCTCACTGATAATCCCGGGATACTCCCTTGGCACAAGAGCTGCTCTCCAGCTGCCTCTTAGCAGCATGTGAGGGAGCAGGGACGAGGTGCCCCCCTTGGCTGTGCTGGAACAGGGCCTGGCAGGWCTGGATCCTACCCTGTTCTGCGGAGCTGGGGTGCCACACTAGCCTCTCATCATACAGTCTGAGTTTGTCCTTAATGCCTTGAGAGCTAAAAGAATTTGAGGAAAATTTTAAGAGCCAATAAATATTAATTGGATTCCTACCTAAAATAGTTTTAATAAATGTTTCCGTCTCTTTGTGGGAATTTTCAAGGTCATAAGTAATCTTCCTGTTTAGAGAGCTAATAAAGAATATTACCATTTATGTCTGTAACTTCCATGAATTCCTTATGGTAAAGTTTTCCCTGGTTTGCAGAGCTTGGCCTGCAAACAGGATGCCGAGGTCGCTGAAAAGCCACGCGCTTTTTGGTGCGTGGTGGTGCTGAAGACGGCGCTGGCAAACTGAACCACGATGAGAGAACTTCCCTCCCTTGTAGGAGCGGGAGGACAGTGCCTGTTGTTTCAGGTTGCTGGTAACAGCTAGTTCTATTAGTCGGATACAGCTGTCCTCTTTTCCTAACCTGCATGAGTTTTTACCACTTCAATACAGTGGCTAAAATACRCAACATCAGTGCAGTGATGTGCTTAAGACCAAAAGCATTTTGCAGTCTCTGCTTATGGAGTGACTAGAAGTGGAGCAGCCTTTTTAATGTTAACCAAGACCAGTCCCCTGTTTGCCAGGCAAGACAAACCTAAACTATTTACAAATTCCCCAAACATGAGATGTTTCTCACATTTGATATCTAATTATTACCACAAGGCTATTATTATTGCCTTCTGTCCTGATAAAGTTAACACTGTTCATAGAAATCTCACAAAGGAAACTTCTATGACAGCTCAGTAAAATATACAAGTATATATATTTATATTTATATATACACATATTTTCCCACTTTCTTTTATGGCAGGGTAATATATATTCCTATTATAATAAAAGTTCAACAATAACAAGTGAAAATGGCTGCAAAAGTGGAACAGATCTTTGACCTTAAAATTAGGAAAATGAAGGAAGTTTGGCAGTATCTTAAATTACAGTATCCACTTGGATTCCATTGCAACTTTCATTAAAGTTTTAGTTTATATAGTTTAAAATATGTTATATATAACGTATACATATATATATAAAAACTATCGTTTAGTTTATATAGTTTAAAATATAGTTTAAAATATTAAAAAATACAGTTTACTTGCTTAAACTGTGGCACTAAATCTGTTCAGCTTCATTTCACCAAAACACCATGTTTGGAAGCCAAAAGCCTGGTCTTGCAGTTGGGAGCTGGTGCTAGAAAGTGATGGCTAATTATAAAGCTGAGTGCAGTGACCTGTTGAGGGCCACAGCGTAGGGGGAGCAGCACAAAGAGTCCCAAAGCCCAGAGAGGTGGCAGGGAATTCCCTCCTGACACAAGGGGACCTCATGAATTTCTCCTCTGCTTGATTCCACACCAACAARTATTTCTTGAAGAGAAAACAAAAGGAACCCACCCCCAAAATGCTGTGCTATGGCAGGCAGGTTCAGAAGCAGAAGAGCCCTGCTGCCCTCTTGGAGTCCCTCACTGGACAACCGAGGTTAATTGCGTTGTTATTATATAGGAAAATCAGGGGAAAGCAGGATAACACAGTGCTTGGAAGGACACAGCACTGTTTGAACCGCTGCAGCGAGGGGCACATGTGAATATATCCTGCTGGAGAGAGGAAGCACTAAGTAGGAATGAGCTGCGAGTGGTATTCTTGCTTTTGTAGATAATTTTACTGTCATAGGGAACTGAATAAAAAGTAATATTTACAAGGAGAATGCGGAAGAGAGAAAAAAAATGAGGTAGGGAAAATAACCTGGTTAAAACCAGAATTCAGGATGCATGTGAAGGCTGTTTCTGGGRCTTTGACAATAATAAATTTGTGTGCAGGATGATTGCCTATGACTTAAATACTTAAGGGTGTGCACAGTTTAGCAGTTAATTGCTGTTAATTTTCACTTATGTGCTTTACTAAGTTTACCTGCAGCCCATGAGGATGGCTTCAGGCCTCCGCATGGCAGTTTGCAGTGCTAGAAAAACACAGCAGCTTCTCGAGGACTCCCCTTCGGGTTACCCATGGGCCTTGCTTGTGGAAAATGCAGTGTGGGGAACTGTAGTGCAGGGTTTCYGGAGGATTTCAAGTGCTTTAAATTTGCTAGATCAGAATTGTCCTGCTCTTCCTGTTTAATTCTGTCTCTTATACGATGTCCATAAATGTGGATCTGAGCATGTACTAAGTGACATGGCTAACATTTGTCATGTGTGATTCTCCTTTCTGCTCCCTGGGAGGAAAATTATGTAAGGATTTTTAAAAGTTTTTTTACTTATTTTCATTTACTGTCTGCATTAAACACAATTATTTCACAATATTTGCMCATACAACCTTGTTTATGTTGAAATTGCTTGCTTATAAAAGTCACAAATAATAGCTTCTCATCCAGCAGGGAATGGACAGGCTCTCCCACCATTACCAGCACTCTTATTTTGCRAAGCGCTTGGGGCTGCACAGCTTTCATAGTACTCCAAATTGCATTTAATCACCTACAGCATGAAGCCATTATTATTTTAATCCTGCAGTTCGATTTATGTATTAGTTGCCTCCAGACTTGTATGGTAATTTCCCTGGAACAGAGCTCCACAGGCTCTCTATGGGGTGAGTTAATTGGGAAAATGTTTTTAAAAAATCAAATAGAGAATATTTAATCAGCTGTAATAAGCATTTGCCTGACAATTAAGACTCTGAACATCTCCCTTGCTCCTCTTGTTTAATTTCTGAACATGATGGCTAAGAGTTCTGGATCCAACATGCAATCCGTACCTGTGCTCACTAGTTCTTAACATGCAATGTTATTTTCATGCTGATATCCAAAACGCAGCTGCAGGATTGCAGCGGATCCCTGCAGTGGAGGGCAGCAGCCTTGTGCATGTGTCCCCCGGCTCCCGCGCGGGGTCCGTGCGCAGGGGAGGATCTTCCCCCTCCGCCTGCGGCCACCTGGGGCGCCTCGCCGCCCGCGAGCGGCACCGGGCGCGTGGCAGCGAGGCGCCGTGCGGGGCGGCCGTGGCGCGTGGCGCGTGGGACGTGGGATGTCCCCATGCGACGCCGGGAGGGCCGCCGAGCGCCGCCGCTCGCTGTGCGTGAAGCTCCCGCGCGGCCGAGGGCCCGAGCAGGGCAGTGCGGCAATCCCTGCCACGCTGCGAGCCTGAGTGCCGGCCCGCCTGCGGACACTTGTTCCCTCTGGGGTYGATACAGAAGTGCATTGCTCAGTGCAAAAGCCATGATGATGTTGCACATAGATAGCCTCCTGTATGTTTATTTTTAATGGTATGTAAGAAGTTTACTGGGAAAGATAGTCATGTAATGTTTCTGTTATATTTTGTGTTTTTGCAGTGAGAGAAAAACGCAAGAGTCTCTATATAAACCACGTAAGTGAAAATGCCTCTCTATGCAGCTTTCTCCTTGTTGTCTRTATTATATCTTAAATAAGAGTTATCCTACGTGACTTCCATACTGGTGAGAGGGTGCTGATRCATGTTCATGATGCAGAACATGTCTGTTCTACATCAGGATGCAAATGATAGGTATCTGCTGYGTGTGTGTAGACTGGATCTGCTGGCTTCATGACAGTGTCATGCTGACAACCACCATAWGCGGGGAACTGCTCCTTGAGACAAAGACCTGAGCACATTAATAGGATTTTCAAAATTATTACAGAAATTCTCAAAACTGTGAACTGCTTTTACATGTAAGATTGATTTTGGTAGAGTGTCTATAGCATTTGATATTTACACAAGAGATTCTGAAGAACCTGACCAGTGTGGATGCAATGTAAACATGTATTTGACATCATGGAATCACGGAATGGTGGAGATTGGAAGGGACCTCTAGATACCATCCAGTCCAACCCCCCTGCACACGCAGGGTCACCTAGAGCATGTGGCGCAGGGTGGCATCCAGGCAGGTTTTGAAGGCCCAAACATGGTTCACACCAGCGCAGCACCCACACAAAGGGAAGCAGAGAGGAGCTGCCGAGGAACAAGACCAGGTCAGCACATAGTCCCTGTGCTCCCACCCTCCCTTGCCCTGTGAAGCTCTGCCTCTGGTGGGAGCACATGCCAGAGCACTCTGCCTTGCAGCTGGGTTGTTAGAGCCTTTTCTGCAAGGGCCATGYGCTGTGGTCCTGTCACTGTGTCCAGTGCCTGGTAGGGCTCCAAGCCAAAAACCATATTCGAGCACCGAGAAGCACAGTGTTAAATGCGTTTCTGTGACAGTGCAGCTATGACAGATGAAATTCTCATGTGGCCCCAGTCTTTTCAAGTCATACAAAAGACGTGTTCTGCATTAAACAGGCTGAAAGTGGGTTCCTCGGGCAAATGGAACTGAAAGGAGTATTGGGAATTGCACTGCAGCAGGGAGATGCTGCATGGCAGGGGGTGCTGTGGGGCAGGAGGTGCTGTGGGGCAGCAGAGCAGGCCCTGGGCAAGGTGCTCCTTGGCAGCGCCGCGCGCAGGGCCGTGCTGTGGGGTGGGAAGTGGCCACGGGCACCTGCAGAAGTGTGTGCTGAGCGCCTGCCCTTCTCGACCTGCTGCAGAAACGGCAGGAGGATCCTTTCCATAGGGAGTTGTGCCCTTGGCAGCTGGYTATTCATCCTGTTTATACCCTACCCTTCCTGTTTTCTTTATTTTCTTTTTTTTTAGTGTCATTCAGTTGGAGCAATGTTGTCTTGCCTTACTTTAGGTTACTCTTACCTTCAATTCGACTTGCTTGTGCTAAAATACCTCTTCTAAATTCTAAAAATAAAAAGCCTATGAAGCTGTAGACCTTTCCATGGCTTTATCTATGGATGACCTTTTTTGTTATTCTAGTTTTTTAATCAATACTCACTGAGAACCCATATTTGCAAATGCAGCCTGTGATACTAAGTTCTTGGTGAGGTGTTTTGAGACGTGGGTGACTTGAGCCCACCTGTGAGCAGTCGCTCAGCACTGCCTGGATCTGTGGACAGACTGGTGACCATTTCTGAAGTGGCTGCTGTGGCCGTGTACCTGACTGGGAGCTCAGCTGAGATTCTTAGACTGCAGGGAACTGTCACAGTGACTTCTTAGACCTTGAAGAAAATTGGGGAAACAGTTAGATGTTGTGTGACGAAAGACCCATCATTCAGTTCACAGCATTTAGGCACCAGGGAAATTTACAGTGTGCTCTACTGGTTGTTCCTTTTCCACCATTTTTTGGTGTGAGTTAAGCACATTTCCCACTGGACCTCTGGCATTGCATTTGCTTCCATACTGATTTCAAGTGCTGAGTTCCCACATCTGCTCCAGAGGAAACAACCTAGAGGATGTGAATTTTGGAGAGTTATTTTGTCTTCCTTAAAAAAGGACTTACTGTAATGCAACCCACTTCTCTTGTGTGTGTGTTTTTATTTTTCTATAAAGCCTTTTTTTCTTTCTTTTATAAGTCTGTATATACTTATTCTTCTTTTGTGACAAATAACCAGAAGAGTCACAATAAAATGCTTTTATCCTCTGGGCTGTATCTTATTGCTTATTTTGCAGGCAGAGGGGAACAGCAGCAAAGCTCCGAAGCAGTCAGGCTACCAAGAGAAGTAGCAAGGAATGGGCTTTCTCTTTTTTAACAACCTGTTTGGTTCTGTGTAAAGATAAATAGTATTTTACCCACTGCAGTCTCTACAGCTTCAAAATATTACCCGTGAAATAATCTAATTTAACTAATGAATTAAAAGAAATAATCTAGTTTAACTAATGAATTAAAATCAGCTCTTTTGTGATCATAGATTTGACAGTTTCTGGAAGCTTAAAGGAATTTATATCAAATAGATAATTTTGCTTGTATTTGCCTGATCCATTTCCCATTTAAAGGTGCCCTTTCTGGTTATCAGTGAGTCACTGCCCTTATCTAAGCACATGTTTCTCAGGCTGCCAGGTGAGGAGTTTCAGCTTTACCTGGTCAATGGAAGGGATGGAGGAACCCCGCAGATGCCCTTGGTTTGGGTGGGAAAAGAAAGAGGGATGGGTTGGCCCCGGGGCTGGGACAGTGTGGCCGCGGGGCCGGTGGCGGGTGCTCCGCGTGGCGGCCGCGCTGGCGGCTTGAGGTAAGAGGCTGCGCGAGGGAGAAGGCCCCGAGTCAGGGAGCCGCTCGCAGCCGGTACCTGCTGCTCCAGCCCGTTCCAGTTTCGGCCCAGTTGCTCCTTCCCCGCTGAGCTGCAGCYGTTCTGCTATTACGGCCTCCATGCCACGGCAGGCGAGCGCGCGTCCCTGCTTCGCAAAGGACGAAGGTGCTGGCGGCGCTGGAGGCGCTTCGTGCYGCGAGGAGCGGCCGCCGCCGCGCCGGGAGCACAGGCACGAGGGCCGGGCCTGCCTGGGCTTGAGGTCAGCCCAGCAGGCCGTGGAGGGGCAGGGGAGGTTCCCTTAGTGGCTGCAGCAGCCGGTTTGCGGGAATAAGTGATTTTTTAAAAATTATTTCCTTTTTGGAGGGGAAAGGAGAAGCGCAGGGGAATTGCTTCTCTATCAGTATTTACTAGATATTTTGTCTAAAAACAGTAATATCCAGTGCAGTAATATCCCATGCAGTAGTATTTCTAAAAAGGTAAATGCTGTGGAGAGGGGTAGTGTTTCTCTTCAGCAAGTTTCTCTTCAGCCTTGGGGCAAGGCCCTTTCAGCAGCGTCTTGCAAAGGCATCTGGCAGTGGCTTCCACTATGTAGATTCCCAGGAATTGTGCTTTGCACTCCAGCAGACTTAGTAGCATCTTCATCATTCCAAGTAGATAAGTTTACCTCTGTGTTTAGACCCAAGTTTGTCCAGTATCCTGGGAAAAAGCTCTTGGACATCATTTCTGTCAGCAACCAGGTGCCTGTAAATGATCCTGCAGTGACTTATCCGGTGGGTTCCCTGCTGATGAGCAGTACAGGGGATGGAGGGCCCCCCAATGCACATTACATGGCACAGGCAGCGACTGAGAGCTTTTTGAGTCCTTGAAATGACGTCTGGTTTTCGCTTTTGCTTCGACTCCAGACTTCCCTGTTGGGGTGGATGAAGAGGCCGCCCTGCCTGCCCAGTGTCAAACTGCTAGGCAGGTGACTGGCAACCAGGTGCTTCAGTAAGGGTAAATATTGTACATGTTGGAATGGGAACATGGTCTAAGAAGTGCTTTAATCCATGAAGAATGCAAAGTACAACATAAAATGGGAAATGTTTTTCTTGGGTGCAATGCCTGAGGCTGGTTGTTGTGAAGGCTTATAATTGCTGTCCAAATTCCTTCAGACACCTTAATTAACATTCCTTACTCAAAGAGAAGAACAAGATAAACTGCAAGACAGATTAGAGGCTTCTCAGGGGTTGTTGCAGCGTCTCTCCTAGAAATTGCTTCATTTGCTCATTGCTCCTTTCCAATGGAAGATCATAGGAAAGCCAGTCTGGAGGGGCCTTTATATCCCATCTGGTCCATCTGGCAGATCCTGTAGAGCTGTGCCATTCCTAACAGATGCTGCTCAATGTGCTTGCAGCCTTCCAGGATGGGAGAATGAATCAACAGGTTCTCCTCAGGACCTTACCTGAACTGATTGGGTGAAATGTTTCCCTAATACCTGTAAATTCTTTGCTGCTTTTCCTGTCCACTGCACAGACCTTCTCCTCCTCAGGCAATCTCGTGGCATTAAGTGATAAGGAGTGGCAAACTTTTGTACATTGGGAAAGCAGATGTTAAAAGTAATGGTAAGGGGTAGCAGGGAGAAATCTTTAAAAAAAAGGTTTATTACATAATGCTTTCTGTGTTGGGAAACTACTAAAGCCCTTTTGATCAAATTACCCACCACTAGCAATTACACGCTATGTAAGTTTAAGCCTTTGAACTGCTTTTAGTGTTGGAAGAAATATTTAATCTTTTCAGGTCTGTGAAGAAAAATGCTGTATATTAGTAAAATGCTGTATATTAGTAATAAGTGGGTCCTGTGTGCACTGCAGAAGAGTTTCCCAAACGTTACTAGGCCCTCTCGGAGCTCAGGGGCAGTCTGACCTAGCACCCTGTGGTTTGTATGAGTCAGGCCAGGCTACGTGTACTGAGAAGGCCACAAACTGCAAGAGCAAATCTAGACTAAGCTATCTGTTTTGAGCACTGTGAAAGCACCAGTGAGACTAATACCCCAAAACAAGGTTGAAGCRTGTCAGAGAGTGGTAGATAGAATGGATATTACTACAGAGGGGTCAGACTGGATTGTTCTTCTGATAGATATTGTCAGAAAAAGTAATAAGACAGTGTGGTTTCCTGTAGATTTTGTTCAAATGAAATCCCTCTTCTCTAGCCACTCACTGTATGGATACAATTATTGTGCTGTAGTCTCCAGTTACACAAAGTGAAGATAGCTGCGGAGTTTTGCAGAGCCAAGCAGTGAATTCTGATGTATAG